TAGATCCGAACAAATAATAGCATGTCAGGCACAAAGCATTTAGCACATAAAAGCATTTTAGGCATAATTCCTAAAATAAGCTAGTGCTCACACCTCACAATCATCGCTTAGCATTCTAAGTTTAAGTCTAGAAATCCTACAAATTCCTAGTTCGCTTAAACTAATGCTCTGATACCAACTGTGACATCCCCAAAATCACGGCCAGAAAAGACCGGTTTTGTTTATACTTTATTTCAAAATCAGAGTAATCTTTTAATAAAAGAGTTGCGGAATTTGTCCCAAAACAATATTATGATAAAGATTTATCAAAAGCATTTCCATAGAAATGTATTTCATTAAAAAGACTCGGGATGTCATGTTCGATACAGTACATAAGTATAAACAATACAACATAGGCCTTACTACATTATTCCGTATTTACAGGCCTAAAATCCATTAATCTCTTATCCCAAGACATCACATCTATGCTCATGCGCCACTACCTGTAATACAAGAAACTGAGTGGGTCAGGCTTGGGAGCCTGGTGAGCACATAGGGTTTTCAACCCACAATAAATAAGTTTATTAACTTTATCAAACCAAATAAACCCGATTACCCATTCCCGTTATCCTCACTTTACGTCCCTAAGACATCTAACACAAGGGACCTAGTCTAAGGACTATCATCGGGATGGACACTACTGCTAAGGGGATTCCTCAGCCGTAAATGTCCTTAAGGCAACCATGTGGGGGATGGAGTACATCTGGTGAGCACACAGTTCAAATAAACACACAGTTCGAATAAACACCTACAGGTTGCGAGCCTGCTAGTGTTCCACTGGACTGTCTAGAATAGTCCGTGGTCGTCATCTATACTCCGCTAGATGACTGGATCATCATTAACATCTATAACGAGGCCTCTCATTATTTTATTTTGTCACACAGCAACTATTACATCTACCCATGTTTTACCCAACACAATTTGTAGATATAAAATACATATACAGTTTAAATCATTGAAAACATGTATAAAACGTTCATCCAGCATAGATAGCAAGTATTCAGATAATATGCACACATAGCAGGTAATTTATATAAAATACTTCATATCTATGTGTAAGCTGAAAGTAACTATGCACTCACTTGAGAAGGTGGTGACTCGGTACTCGGACAACGCTTCGTTTACTTTAAAATAATTTCCTTCGACGAAACCTAGTATTATCACCACTAGATTTTAATATTACCGTGACTAATTATTAGTCTTATTATTATTATTATTATTATTATTATTATTATTATTATATTATTATTATATAAGCGTTTAAACAATACTTTCCAACCACTATGTACAGACAGGGGCCAGACATAAAACACCGGAGGGCAGGACCATTTTGGCGTATAGCACTTCTGAAATCCAACAACCCTATGCGGCCCTTTAAACCAGATTCCCCGTACCGCGAGTAGTTAAAAAGATATTATAACGACACTTATATAAGTCATAATAATAGCTCAAATATTTATTATAAATTTATAATAACAATACTAATTTTAAATATAAACTATATTTAAAATAGGGTAAGCATAACTTACTTACAAGGGGATTTTAGCTAGGAGTCGGGCTCTGCAGGGGCAAACTTCGTCGCTGAATCTTTCTAAGAAAGATTCGTGCAGCGCTTCAGCGCTCACCTTACTATACTAAAACTACAGAAAGAGAAGTCGAATCACGAGGGACCGAAATGCTCGGGGATAAGGAGAGAAAGACTCTTGAATCAAGAGAATGGTGCAAGAAATATGAGAGCCCAAGCCTCTTATTTATAGTAATTGAATTTACAAAAACTACCCTCCATAATTACTTAATGACCTTATAGTTATATAAACAACTAAACACCCCTTCATAATACTATTTTAAATATTTAACGATATTTGCACTAAACTAATGTCGAAAGAACTCAACATTAGTCTTATAATGACCGCATCGTCGATACCTTTCTAATGATATATACATATGTATATATATATATATATATATATATATATATATATATATATATATATATATATATATATATGTACGTATATATGATTTATACTTTATTTTAATACGTAAATATGCTATTATAATTTGTAACTCGTTCATACGAACTCCGTTTTTGACGTTATTTATATCCACGCGTAGGTGGAGACGTACTCTACAACTTTCGTTTAGACTCCATCGGCTAATTTTGACTTTATTTTTAAAGTTATATTTTTAACACCGGGACAGGATTGGTCCGTTAAAATCTCATAACTTCTTTATCCGATGTCCATTTTCGTCTGTCTTTTTATCGTTACTACTAATAACGAGATCTTCGATTCTCGTTTAGGTTGTGTCGGCTAAAAACCGCTCGATCTAATACTCGAACTTCGGGCTGTACACCGCTAAGCCGAAACTTCGAAAAATCATAACTTCCTCATAAGAAGTCAGATTTGGGCGTTCTTTTTATGGACGCTCTCAGGTTAACATATTCTACTTTTCATTTAGATTACTAAGGCTAAAAGAAGCTCTATCATAAATTCACTATTTACTCTCCCGGTGCCTGTCGGTTTTGTCGTAAAACTTTGACGGGCCATAACTTCTTCGTTATAACTCGGATTTCGACGCTATTTATATGTACGGAAACCTTGTAACATATAATAAATTGGTTGAGATTATTTATTCTTAATAATCTTTTTTCGAAAAGTCGTTTTCGACCCCTATTGCCTCTAAATTGACTAGCCCGGATCTACGGGCGTTACATTGATGCAATGTTGGATTTCACGTACCAAAGGGAGTCCTGCAGGAATTTCAGTTGGTAAGAACATCCAAAAACTTCCGGAGAAGCTGTCTGGCTGCATGTGGCAGTTCGGCAACGTGGGGATTGGCTTCGATCATGACTAAGGCAAACATAAAAGGTGGTTTAGTGGTCCTCGTAAAATCTTAGAATTCCGACTTGGTCACGATGAGTGCTTCAGTTCCCAATTCCCGTATGTCTAATGGCACCAATTTGATGTTAACTACTGCCTTTTTAAAAGTATAGGTGTTCGAGTACCCATCATGACTTACACGCCGATCGTATTGCCAAGGACGACCTAAGAGAATATGGCATGCGTCCATAGGAATAACCTCACACCAAACTTCGTCCGAATAACGGGACCCAATGCTAAAATAATCAGGCACCAATGCTTGACTTTCACTACATTTCCTTTTTTAACCATGTTAACTGGTACGACTCTGGGTGATCTTCGAACTTCAGACCCAATTTTTCAACCATTACCTCCGCTACCATGTTCTCACAGCTTCCTCCATCAATTATGACGGTACACACTTTACCCTTTACGATGCACCGGGTGCAAAAGATGTTATTTTGGAGCCATCGATTATCGTCGGTGGGGAGGCTAGGATTCTTGCTAAGAACACACTGGGCGATGAGGGCTTCTCTTTTGCCGGAAAAAATAATTTCGGTGTCCTCATCTTCATGAATTTCACCATCAGAATCGTATTTTGGTAAAGTGTCCTCTGTGAGAGTCACGAGTTGGGTGTTGGGTAAGTCGCAAGCAAAATTCCCTAATCCTCCACAATTAAAACAACGCGGTGGGTTTCGGGTCGAAATGACGGGTGGATTACTCGAGCCTTCAGACCGAATCGGGTTGAACCGGTTCGCTGGGGTTCCGTCTGGTGTTCCTTTCTGGGTTTCAGTTTTCTGGAATGTGGGTCGAGTCATAGTGGTTTTGGCCTTGGTTTTCATCTGTTTTTAAACTTTGAGTGCTAGTTGACACACTTCGTTGAAGGACCAATAAGGTTGTAGTTGGACAACATCTGCAATTTTGGGCTTTAAGGCCCCAAAAAATCGAGCTATAATTTGTTCCTCCTCTTCTTCTACCCCGCATCTTATGCGCAACATGTTGAACTTACTTATGATCTCTTCTACTGTTGATGATATTTGTGCTACGTTGTGATAGTCTAAGAATGCCTCTTGATGGAAATTAGGTGGCAAAAACCTTTCCCACAAAAGTTTCTTTATCATTCTCCGTGTCGTTACCTTTGATTTTCCCTCCTGATTCCGCTTTCTCTTCACAGTTTCCCACCACATCGAAGCATATTTACGGAGTTTTAGGGCTACGATTTTTACCTTATACTCATGTCATATATCCCGCAAATCAAATACACATTCCACTGTTTGAAGCCAATCAAGGAACACATCAGGATCTGCTTTCCCATCAAACTCTGGTACGTTGATTTTGATTCCCAAGTGTCAGAGTGGGTCTGTTTTCCGCTCTCTCTGTTCTAACGGGTTCCCACCTTGTGCGAATGGATTGTCTACATAATCCCTATCATCCTAGATGCGAGGATCAGTGTTCGTTCCCTCCTCTAAGCGTTCCTCATGTTGCATCTCCAGGTCCTTGATTTGTTGTTGTAATCTTGCTATCTCTTCAACGTGTCGTGGATCATGTTGGTGTTCCTCGTTGCCTCTGCCGACGAATCGACGGGGGTTCCCATACCTTCGTCCTCCACGGTCTCCCATTGTCGAATCTTCCTTGAGCTCTGGTACCAAACTGATGCCGTTCTCCAGGAACGGTCCCTGAGCTGATGGAAAGATACAAATTGGAATCTCTTTATTATTTTCAAATTAATAAAACTAAAAACAAATCAGTTCTGATAACGATGACAACTATATGTAATCTAATGACCCCCACAAAATAGGAGCTAATTCTAAAGATAAATTAACTAAACAACTAGATAAAACTTAAACATCACATTGACTTGAGATTCCAATTTGATCCAATCACCTTTAACCTAAACTGCCACCATTGTCTTGATCCGGCCCAAGACTAAACAGCCCCCTGCATCAGTTTTATATTTAATTAAGAACTAGTGGAAAAGTCCGGGCTTCGCCCCATACCATTTTTTGTGTTTTTTATGAAAAAATATAAAAGTATTGACTGTAAGTACCAAAAGTGTCAAAATGGTCACCGACAACGTCCTCACCACCACCACCACTGCCAATGACGTCCTCACCACCTCCATCAGTGACCGCACCACCGTCTTCACCACCAGTGAATGATTTCAGATCTGGAACCTTCGTTACCTTGTCTCATATGCATCTTTGGTGTACTGCCGTCTTCTCCTATCACCTGTAAATTACCGTTAAAGATATACAAGCTTCAATCGATTTCAGATCTATGATTTCCAGCTCAGATCTATAATATTCGCCTCTAGATCTACGATTTTCTATTCCAGATCTATGAATTTCCGGTGATGATCCACCACAACAATCTCCTTCCAGATCTGCATCATGTCCGCCTTCTTTGAGATATGTGGTTCATGTTTCGTTGATTGTTTTTTGGTAGCCGACTTCACCAAAGCAAACTCTAAGATCTAAAGCCAAGAAGTTGTTTTGTGGTCAGATCTTGAGAGAAAATATGAAGACATGTCTTTTCGTTGTAGCTAGTGGTGCTTCCACAACCGTCTCGTCTGTCAACCACATCACCACTACCTACTCCTCCGGCAACTTCTGTTACCATCATCTCATTCATCAACACAAATTATCATTCTCTGATCTCTTGTGAATCACCAGATCTGGATTAGATCTCACTCGATCTACATTAGATATCACGAAATCTTCATCAGATTTGAATCATAAACCACCACCACAAATCAGATATCGATCCAGAAGTTATCACCATGAACCACCACTAAAAACAACAATTGATGTTGTTGGGGACATGAAACCGACCGCCACTGCTTTACTATCACAATATAGATTTGAAACCGACCACCAACAAATATCTGGTATGTTTTGAACCTTTTATAAATAATATTTCTGAATTCTTTTATTAAATTATAAATGAACGTTCTAAAATACTATATTAAAACATGATTTTGTATGATATGAAATGTTCATGTATATTTTTAAACAATGAATAAGAGTCCTGAACTATTTTATTAAATTGTGAATAAAAGTTTTGAAATGTTTTATTAAATTGTGAATAAAAGTCTTGAACTCTTTATTTTTTTTCTAATAGAATTTGATATTATTGAAACTTCAAAAGTTAAATTATTGTCAAAGTAATAAAATGTTGCAATAATATTTTATTCTTTTTTATTGTTGATCCATTTATAAATTTTTAATTTGTTAAAAAATGACATGTACAAAACTTACTATACCACAAATAGAAACTAGGATAATTTTATACTTTAAGTGCATATTAAATGGGGTTAATGACTTAGGAGGGTAATAACGTTTCTCATTTGTTCATTTTAGGTCCTTAACGTTTTTTTGTGTATATTACACCATTAAAGTTCTAATAACCGTTTATATATAGTCATTTAACCGGCTTCTTCATGTTAAACCATTATGTGGATGATTAGTTGACATTATTAAGGCGTTGCGTGTCTATTTATCTCCATAAATTAGGGCACGACAAATCCCCTATCTCTATCTCTTCACTCTCACTGTTCTTTCTTCGAGCAACCCCGATCAGATTAGATGGCTAAAGATGATGCATTGGTCGTTGAAGTCCAGTACAACGGGCACTTCTTCCCGAGGCCATTTACGTATTTTGATCCAAATAAAAAGGAGATAAGGTACGCTGATTTCAGGGACAAAGGGTATTCCGAGTTCATTGCTCACCTAGAGCTGATTACTAGAAGGATGTGCAAAGATGTATACTATTGTCCAGACGGCCAAACATTGTGTCAAGGATTTGCCACATTGCAAAACGATTGTGATCATCATGAATTTCTTGAGTAACTTCATGACAAAAAGAAAGTAACTGTGTATGTGGACCATTTCCGTGAACCCTTGTTTGACTGGATTGAAATGGAAGAGCCTGAAGTTGAAGATGATACCAAGTCAAACGAAGATGAAGTTGATGTAATAGATAAAGAGGTTTGGGAACACGAGCTGGATGATGAGGAGTTTTCTATGAAAAGGGCAAGAGCAAGTATTCAAGGTATACAGAAGAAAGACATGTTTTTGAACAAACTTTGCCCAAATGATGAAGAGGAAGAAGATCCTACTGTTGAGCAACTACCTCCTGTATACCCTGTGCATAATTCTGAGCAAGAATGGGATCAAATGGCTCCTGTGTTAGGTATGAAATTCACAAATCCTAGTGAACTCAAACATTGTCTTACCAACTATGCTGTTAAGCATGGTTATGATTTGTGGTATGAAAAGAATGATAAAAACAGACTTTTAGTGAAGTGTTGCAAAGGTAAAGAACCTACATGTCCTTTTAGGTTATGGGCTTCTTGGATGCAAGAGGAAAGGACTTTTCAGATCAAGTCACTTAAATCAACTCATAACTGTGGTAGAGTTTTTAAAATAGGCTTAGTGACTTACAAGTGGGTAGGGAAACAATTTTTCAATGTACTTATAGAAACCCCAAGCTTACTTTGAGGAAGATGAAAGATCAAATCTCAAACACATACAACATCATAGTTAGCATTGGACAATGTAGAAATGCAAAAAAGTTTGCTTTGTCTGAGATTGAAGTCACTCTGAAAGAGCATTATAGTAGGTTGTGGGACTATGGCACTGAAATCAAAAGAGCTAATCCAGGATCAACTGTAAGCATGGAAGTGGACAATATGCCTGATGGAAGTACAATGTTCAAACGGTTTTATGTATGCTTCAGAGGTGTAAGAGATGGTTGGGTAGAGGGGTGTAGAAGAGTCATTGGGATTGATGGATGGTTTCTCAAAGGAATTTGCAAGGGTGAACTCTTAGCTGCAGTGGGTAGGGATTCCAATAATCACATGTTCCCTATAGGTTGGGCTGTTGTAACTGTTGAGAACAAAGAAACATGGAAATGGTTCCTTGATCTACTGATGGATGATATTGAAAGAGGCAATGGAAATGGACTTACTATTCTCTCTGATGGACACAAGGTACTACTCATGTTTACTCTTAACTTTATAGTTTAATAATGATTTAACATTGTAAATTGGGCAGGGTTTAATTGAAGCTATCAAGGAAAGGGTTCCTCATGCTGAGCACAGATTATGTGCTAGGCACATACTAGCCAACTTCAACACAAGGTTCAAAGGTGAGCATTTTATGAAGCCTTTTTGGAAGGCTGTGAAGGCTACCACAAAACAGAAACATGAAGCTGCTATGAAAGAGATCAAGGAATTAGATA